CTCTATCGCATTAGGACCAAATCAAAAATGTAGGTTTATCCACAAAACCAGATGTGTGTCCGACCTTGTGCAATCAGAGTAATGGTTATAACATGCATGTAGAAAGAGAGAGATAGTGGTCATCAAACCTTGATGACCAAGAACAGACGTTACTTTTTGCTATCCTAATTACTTTGAGTCATCACTGCGGGTTTCATGCATAAGCGAACACAAACAGGCACATACAGACACAGAGATAGACAAACTCACGGGCTTCGAAGTTGACATATGAACGTAATTAACCAAATCACTTTTACTTGATCAAAGAGGCCATATGTAGAGTATATCTACCACGTTTTAGGAATTAACTGATGAATTTTCTTGATTCGTTAGCTTTAATTTGGTTATGATGATACCTTTTTGTAATGATGTTTGTTATATGATGGACAAAATCTTAGCACCTTATCACCGGAATCAAGTTGCTTACCTCAGAAACAACGTCAGCATGAATCTTCTTGTAAATCCAATCTACAACTGTTCATAAGGAATCCGCCGTCGTATTCTTGTGGAATCGACCTTTGAATCTCTTCATCAATCACTTTACTTGAAATGGAATTAGGCTCAACACCAGAGTTACAACTTATGAAAGTGACAAATAAAGGCCATCCTCCTGGCTAATTTTCTGTTCACTACTAGTGAAATCATTCCTTGCTTCTATAGTTATTATACATCATATTGCCGTTTCTCTTTCTCTCAACCCCACTTCAGATTTCCCATCCACCTATTCACACAATTCTGTGCTATCCTTTTCTCAAATGTCGCATACCTGTGTTTCGGTACAACTGTGTTTTTGGAAACGTAATAATCTAAACCGCTGTTACCAGGTGTAGCTTGCAGTGCTCTTGACCAATATCCCGCCCCTTTCTTTATCTTCCTTTTCGCTTGCCAATTGGCCATTGCTAAAGATAAAATTATTGCATCGCTTACTTTTTTCCCCTTGAAACACAAATAACACACTTCTCGTTTCTCAAGTTGACATACCCATCTAATCCTATGGTACTGATATGGCATCCCTATGTGTGCCTTGGTTGGTATCGCCCGAGGTCAGGCCTTAATAAGTCACCTCCCATTTTGACACAGATACGAAAAATACACACGACACATATGCACACACTGGTGCTCTCTTTTTATACACCCATACCTTAAGCTTTTAATTTCATATTTTGCTGGTCACTGGTTAACCCCCTGAATAATGATTTTTTGCCAATTCTACGTCTGACTCATCTCACTGCAATCGTCTTTTCTTGACTTCCATTTATCACTCATGGGTCTCTTTCTGTTAATGTATCTCTGTTGGTTAACACCTATCCTGGGTTCACACGTCTCCAAGTCTGCTCAGGCAGTAAGCGAAATTATCGATGACCCATCTCTTCCAATCTCCCGCTCATCAGGTTTATTTCAAGGAGTAGCCCACCGACTCCCTAATATTCAGTTTATTGGTGTTTTCCCCATATTAGGTTAGTCTTTCAGTTGCATTTCAGTCAATTTACTGGCATCTAATGGTGATGTGTTCAGCTATCGCCGATTATTCCATGTCTATTTTTCTACATAGTCGCAGGTACCGGTGGTGGAGATGTATATGCTTCATTAAACCCACTTGTAGAGACACACACTTGACGACATTATATGAGACAAGAGCACATAATTATGTGAATATTTTGATAGGTCATATTAAGCGGAGTTGAGAAAAAGAGATACAGAACTAGAATGTAAAACAAATAATAGGGACGATGAGTGATGGTACAACTGTTGAACAGAAAATAGATCAAGCGGATTGCCTTAAGTTGTCAATTTTGATGAGTTGTAGCTCTGTGCTTACGATGGCGCAGCTCACGGTCGATGCCGGAGAAACGTTTAGGAATACGACCAGCCAATGCTGCAATGCTGGAAGTCACCAATCGTATGCCAGATGACACAAGACTAGGTACATTCTACAAGGTCTCGCTGATGCTCAAGAGAAGTTGCGAAAGCAAGGTCAAACAAACACTATAAACCTAGACGAGACTGTGACCAAACATACGGCCACACCATTTTTGTCTTCAAATCTACAGCACTATTAACTTTATTTACTTTTAACTAATTATTCTGACTGAATCAAGTAAAATAATTGAAATAAATTAGCAATATTTTATATTGTTGTGTTGCATTTTAGTTCACTCTATGATGATCCGTACTTTTTCTTTTAATTTGTTCGAACTCGTTAGGTCTTTTTAAACTTTATCCTTGCATTCAAGGCCTATCTCCACATCAATACTCTCGCTTAAGTGATGGTTGCCTTCTTTACATGAAGCCATCTTCGGAATATACATCACCTACTGACGAAACAGTTTGTTTGCTCAACAATAATTTACTTACTTTCAAAAATGAATATATTTCTAATTCAAGACTCAATTTTGCAAGAACATCGCTCCTGGTATTATTCTTTGTACTGGTATGTCTTCTCCTTCATTTATTTTAAGGGTATATGCATCGGAATCCCTGGGCCCTCCCTTCTATATCTGGAAAGACTTGTTTCATCAAGAGAAGATGAGATAGCTTTAATATTTACCGCCAGAGCAGTAGGTAGCCTATCTGGGTGGTTATTTAGTAATCTTTTTGTACAAAATGAACCCTCTTTAAGTAATTATCGATGTCTGATTAGTTTTGGATTGATTGCGCTCTCCATTTCAAATATAATTTTGCCATGGTCGCAAAGGGTTTGGTGGCTTCTGTCTGCTTTCGCTGTTCAAGGTGCCTCAATTTCAATGGTCATTCATGGTAGGCTGTGTTGATAACTTCTATGAATTTCTTACACATTTTCCATAACTTGCACATCATCCAACATACTACATTCATATTTTTTACTTTTTAGGAAGCTTTACGTTTGTATCCCTTTGGAACTCAAAAACAGCCCACAAATGGCGTCAATTTCTTATCATTTGGTCACTTTGTGGCTGCGCACTTTCCCCATTTTTAATTATGCCTTTTTTTGATCTGGAAAAAGTCCACATTTCAAGAGATGCCCTTGGTCATCCAAACGTGCCTCTGGGGCCTAGTACATCGCAAACTCCCGCCACTATTATAATTTCTTCCGTTCTTTTTGAAGGCCATAAGTCAAATATTTCTATTAACCGAATCAGGAGAGAAGCCTTCTATAATGTATCTTCCTCTGCTACTTTGTCTAGCCTTTCAACTCCATTACCTATTTTACCTTCGATCTCAAAAATAGATGAAAAAAATCATTCGAGTGTGATATGGTCCACTCATCTCAATGCAACTATTCCTATAAATATCACATTTGACTACCCCTTACCCGCATCGAATATATCGACTGCATTTCAACAGACCCTGTCCTCTTCCCTTGACTCTACTACAAAATCGTTTGAAGCTAATAACAAAACCATAGCTACGACTCCTATTAACTTGCCACACAAACCCTCAGTCAGCGATGCACAGAATCTTAATCAGGACTCTGCTGCGGCCGATGGGACCCAAGCCGCAAAAGTGATGAAACAACTAGAAGAGGATAGAAAAATGGATCCCATTGATCCAAAAGACAAGCCTTCATCTAAACCCGCTATAACTCCTGTTCCGGTAAATTCAACTAGTCCACATTTAGAATCAACCAAAAATATCGCACAGCTGCCTGAGAACTCTACTAGTCATAATCTCACTCTTATTACCAATAGTTCCTTTTTTAATAATGCTAGTAATCCCCACTTATCGACTAACTCAACCATATCGCCGGTCAACACAGAGAATCCTGCCCATAATACTTCTGCCTATATGCACCACGAACTACCAGTACATTTAACTGCCCTGATATCTACTACTCCAAATCCAGTATTGTCACCGATGCCTAATAAATCTCACGC